TCTGAGCACTTTGCATCTATTATTCAGCACATATACTCATCTTTCCAATTCCAAATCAGTCATGGTGAAAGATGAAGTTGCTTTTCAAAGTCACTTTAAGAAGGAATGATTGAACCATGGTCCACACCTGGGGAATTTAACCCTAATGACCACATGATGACACATGATGGAGTGAGCATCTCTTACTTAGCAAAAAATAATTCCTCAAGTCAACCGCCAGTTGAAAGTACTGCCTGCAACAGCATAACGTGTCATCACAGTTTTAGAAAGGGAATCTTACAACATTTGGAATTTACACAATTTTTCAGATTGAATTCTGTCATAATTTTATTTTTAGCACAAAAATAAATAGTAGAAGATAGGAGGCTTATGGCACTGATCTTAATAATATTTCTTACATTATTTATTCATAGTTAAGGAAACAATAGTGTTGTACAACATGTTTATGTGAATGTGATAGAGATGGAAGCATAAAGCCACATGTCCGTGTTGCTATAATGAAGTGAAGATGGAAAAGTGTCTGTTTCACCACTGATACTGAAACCACGATTTTGAAGAATAAAAGCAAATAACATGTATTTCTTAGAAAGATGAGAGGAATTTGATGAATGACATCAGTGGGCTTTCCTAGGAGAGTTAGAGGCTTATGGTCACAGGCAGCCATGTGAAGGCTTTGAGGGTGGACAGCATTAGGGGAGAAAGCCACATACTATGGCATGCTGAGGGTCCTGGAGGACGAGACACATCCTGCAGGTTCCAGAACATTAGAGGAGTTGATGCCATCATAGCACAGACATCTTGATGGGCCCTTAAAGGGACAGAGAGCATTCAGTCCCTAAAATAATGGGACTGTGTGATAGATTTCCAAGTAGGTGGGTAAGTTCCATACACTGTGACCTAACTCACAGGCTGGAAGTCACAGAGCATTTTATTTATTATTTATTTATTTGTTTGTTTTTATTATTTATTATTTTGGTCCTTTTGAGACAGTATATCCCAGTAGCATCAGCTGACATTTAGTCTGTTAGTTGGCACCAGAAGGATTCTTAAACTTTCACTCAAGGTGATCAATGTCCATCCAGTAATTTATTGGCCACAATGTTTTCTTTCTTAGAGCTAAAAGCATGGTGAACTTTTAGCTTTTAGGTCAGGAGTATACCTTTAACCTGGCCTAAACTCTTAGTCAAGAAAAGCTGAGTTATTTGTTTAGGTCAAGGAGATGAGCTAAGGATTGGTGACCAAGATGCTTTCCCACAGAGCAGGGACCCTCCACTTATGTCCAGGTCACTTTCTCCTGCCACTCTGGCAGTGTTCTGCAAGACAGGGATTATCATCAGAGCTACTGTTTTCAGTGCCTCTTCCTTTAGCAGAGAATGCAGCCTGGACTTAAAAGTTTTAGGCTCATCTCACCCTAGGCCTGGCATCCTGGTTTACTACAAGGTCTAAATACTGTGTGCTAAATGGGGATATTGTGAGCATTAATTTAATCTGAATAAAATCCAATGTGCTATTTTAATACATTTTGAATTTAACTAATTTTTTTATATGCATGGGTTTTTTGTCTGCGTATATAAGTATACCACGTTTATAAAATGGCTGTAGATGTCAGAAGTGGATGTTGGATCCCCTGCTGGGAAATGAAGTTGCAGTTTTTAGCCACTAGGTAGGTGCTGGGAACCTGGCACAAGTTCTCTGCAAGAGCAGCCAGTGCTTTTAACTGCAGAGCCACCTCTTGAGACCTGCAAGGTGATATTTAAAATATAGTTAGTATAAGACCATATAACACTGATGAAACTATAGAGCAAATGATATCAATTATAAATTGTATACATATCTAAACATAGGGTTAATAATGAAAATAATAGCTCTACAATATCAGAAAATTCAGAAATTACCTAATCAAGGGTATAGATTTAAATTTTCCCCTTTTACAGAAAAATGTTTTGTAATTTTGAATGATCATTAATATCTGGGTCATTTTGTATGGTTTTTAGGCCAGCTGTGTTTTAGGATTTCATAGTGAATACTTTCATTGTCATGAGTCTTCATAACAGATGTGCAAACTCTGAAATTAATATGTGCATTTTGATTTCATGGATAACGGTAAACACTGTTCCTATTTTTCTAGAAGTCTGATATTAAAGACTTAATTGTATTAATAAATACTGAAGTTTCCTAGTAGCCTCTCATAAATACATGGCTTATCTACACAGTCCCTCTCCATCTGTGTCCCCCAGACCACCAGCAGCCGCTCCTGGGAGCCTGGTAGGCACTGGGTGTTCTGGTGTCACCTAAGACTTCATGTGTCAAAATCTCTGACTATGGGTGCCATTGAGCTGTAATCTGCACTCCAGCAGATTCTCAGGTCAGATGAGAACTGAGAACAACTGACCTGGAAACAACAAAGCTCCAAGCTCACAGTCTCCCTCTCCCGTGACCTGGAGTTCTAATGGTCCAAGTCTCATGTGACAGAAAGAAAATGGGTTGTTCTGGTCATTAAGTTCAGGCTTCCATTTGAAATAACCCCACTTCTCCCAAAGAAACCATGATGCAAACCTGTTCCCAAGGGATGAAATACCTTTTGAAAATCTCTGACTATGACCAGGAGTTGTCTGAACTCATCCATCAGCTTAGAGAGTTACTTGTACACAAGGACATCATGGTGAATTTTCAGTTTTTAGATGAGGAAAGAGGGGTTTCCTGGAAATTCTGACAACTCTTAATACTCTTCAGATTAATTTTACAAAGGTAAGACTATGATTCTATCCAAGAATGAAGTTCACCTTACTAAAAGGAAATGGTAAAACTAAGTCTGTGTATTTAATTCATATATTTGATATAAACATGTTTAAAAAGAGGTAGCATTAAAAACAGTGTGTTGGGAAATTTTAATGTTTTATACATACGCACATTAAAGACCCACTCCCTACACTCTCTGTTCTGAATAGCAGAGACAAAGCCCTGATGGAATACTTTCAGTTTAGATGTGGCCACTCTTACAATGTCCTTACATCCTGCACAAAGATGTGAAAGTTACATGAGAGAAGTTGTATGAATTCCAAAGGACCTCCCAGATCAGTTTTCCCTTCAGAATTTAGAAAATATTTTCTTGTAAATGTAGATTAAAGTGTTTAACTGTAAAAAAAGATTGAACTTCCTTTGTGCATGGACACTTACATTGTGAAGGACTGTAGCATGCTATGCTTCTTGCAAAACTCAATCTATAAACGTATTAAGGTGACTCACTTCCCTGTCTGTATATAAACATGGAAGATTAAAATTTTAAATGATCCAAAATTAAAACTATATATGAATTGTTTAAAATTTCAATGGAAAATTGGACATAAAATTAACTTGGTGATGGGGAAGGTGTTAAATAGCTTTGGTCTCTGTTACACAAGCGTTCCCTTATGTGATTTGATATTTTGATAGGAACTGATAGAAGGGAGAAAATTATGGGAATATAAATATGTGATTCCAGTACACAAAATAAGAATTAAGAAATTCTCAAATGTGTCAGCTAAAAACTCAGACACTCGATTTAGATGTGTATTCTCTCTTCTCTTCTCTTTCTTTTCTCCTCTTCTCTCTTCCCTCCCTTTCACTTCCTTTCCTCCACCACCCCCTCCTTCTCTGGGTCATGTGAGTGCTGGAATTACAGACTTATGTCATCACACTTGGACAAAACACAGACATTTTTACTCTAAAGAAAACAATGAGCATTGACTAGGCAATCATGCCAGAGATGCCATTCTTTGTAAAATAAAGTCGTGAGAAGGGAATATTGGTTGTTCTGTTGCCAGAACAGACCAGCAAGAGATGGACAAAAGTGTCTGTCTCTGGCATAGAGCCTGAGGATTCTGTCATACATTCATTCTAACCTGATGAGTCACCTGGGCACAAGGAAACGTGAGATTCCATAGGATAAAGGAAAACATCACAGCACTGGTAGATGGCCTTGCTTACTTCCTGCAGACACCACAAATGACATGTGTGAGAGTGAGCATCAACACTGGCCTCTTATCAGTCTTCACACACCAGGGGACATTTTGGAGAGAGTGAATGATCATCTCCATCCTAGAAAGAACTAACTGTGAATCAGGAAATATAAAAGGACTTCTCTGTTATCAGGAAGGTAGGTCCCTGGGAATCTTACTTTTGAGGTTATTCACTGTGGGTATGAATGCTGTCCTTCTAATTTTTACCTCTACTGTTCAGATTTTTACCTTCTTTTCAACTGCTGCTGCTTATGGTAAGTGTTCAGTAAATGCTCCATGGCTGTACTGAAGGTAGTGAAAACCAAAGAGAAATCCCTAAATGCCACATGACACTGACTACAAGAAGGTAAATGCCCAATCTGAGTTAATTACGTAAGAATTGTATGTAAATAAGTATAAAGCCTGTATGTGTTCCTTGGCAACAGTATTCTTGTTCTGAGTTTGATCTCAGATCCATTGATTATGATTATAGCAGGAAAAGAGAAATACAAACCATTCTCACTGTGACGCTGTCCACTAGAAAGAATGCTGATGTCAACTGTTCACAGAGAACTATTGTTCAAGTTCAAAAGTCACGGTTCTTTGCAGGGTCCTATATGAGCTGCTTAAACTCAATAGACTACACAAATGTACCAGAGTCAAAGATCAGAAATCTTTCAGCAATAGCCCACAACTGTATTCCTACTAAAGCACTTAAACTAATAGATTTTTACCAATGGAAGGAGAACAATTTTTATGCAGTAAATCAATTTTTTATGATATAGTACCACTAACTTAACTTCAGGCTCATCATCTTGTGCCAACAGGTTTCCTAATAAAACTGTGAATCCCATATACATAAGAATCTGGCTTCATCCTTTATCCTTTCACATCAAGTCCATGTTCTCTACAATTGGTTGTTGAAAGAAGCAATGCAGGTTAAAGTCATAATTGTTAATATTATCTTTGTACTTAATTTCACGTTTTTATTTTTCAGCTGCTTCCACAATTTCTGTTCTAAACATGACTGTGGCAAACGTAACCACAGTGAGTGGCTTCTTCCTCCTGGGTTTCTCTGACAACAGGGAACTGCAGATCCTACACGCTTCTCTCTTCTTGATGGTGTACCTATTAGGCTTGGTAGGGAACTTCATCATCATCACAATCACAACACTAGACTCACAGCTCAGATCTCCAATGTACTACTTCCTGAAGAACCTATCCCTTCTCGATCTCTCCTCCCTGTCTGTCACTGTTCCCCAGTCTATTCACAATTCCCTGACTGGCAGTGAATACATTTCCTATGTTCATTGTGTGCTGCAGGTTTTCTTTTTCATATCCTTTGGTGGGAGTGAGGTGGCCATTCTCACAGTGATGTCCTATGACCGCTATGTGGCTATCTGTCTCCCACTGCACTATGAGGTCATCATGAATCCCAGAATGTGCAGATGGGCTGTGACAGCTGTGTGGATAAGTGGAGGCATCCCAGGAAGTTTGTATGCAGCAACCACATTCTCTATCAGGTTCTGCAGGGCCAAAATAATCCACCAGTTCTTCTGTGATGTCCCCCAGCTGCTCAAGCTCTCCTGCTCCAATGATTACCTTGTAGTGGTTGGAGTGGCTGCTTTAATGGCTATGGTAGGAACTGCCTGCTTCACTGCCATTTGCCTCTCCTATGTCCGGATATTCTCCACAGTCCTCAGGATGCCCTCTGCAGGTAGGTCTAAGGTCTTCTCCACCTGCCTGCTGCACCTCTGTGTGGTCACATTTTATGTCTCCACTAGTGTGTTTGCATATCTTAAGCCAACTTCAGACTCCATGACTGCTCTAGACATCATGCTTTCTATCTTTTACACTGTACTTCCCCCAGTATTCAACCCTGTTATTCACAGTCTGAGGAATGAGGCCATGAAAACAGCTGCAAGAAAGTTGCTATTAAGTCATAGATTCCCTGGAAGAAAATTAGTTTTGTCTTGCTGTTCATAGCTGAAAACATTGTACAGAAGACAGAAATGAAATGTCAGTACGTTTTATTAGCGATAAGCAGGAATCAGTTTCTTGTAAAATGTATCTATGACGCTTGTCATTACAGAAATTGCTCCTCTGAATTCTCTACCTCAGGCACTGAAAGCATTTTTGTTTTTTCATGCTAAGGGAAAATACACAGTTATAACACAAGAATATTGGCCCAGTGCTTCCAAATGCTCACAGTGCACACACAGAGAAACATGTGGGCACATCAAGAAT